TATAAAAGATAATGCCCATGTTATGTGTCATGAGAGCTAGGGTATAGTTGGCATGCCAAGAGTCGAGGGTCTATGTGGTCCTTCGGGACATATATGTATTCTTTGGAACATGTGTGAAGTCTGGTGAGACACATACTTGATCCTTGGCATATGTATATCATTCTTAAGGAATGATATGTGGTCCTTCGGGACATATATGTATTCTTTGGAACATGTGTGAAGTCTGGTGAGACACATACTTGATCCCTAGTATATGTATATGATTCTTAAGGAATGATATGTGGTCCTTATGGACATTATTATATGGCACTATGGTGCAATTCTACACGGCACTCCGGTGCAATTATACGTGGCACTTTGGTGCAATTATATGAGCTGTGGTGACAGCATTAGTGCACAACCTCTATGTACTCGCATATCTTTAGTTCTCACATGTGTATCATGGGCTATTAAATAGATAATATTAATAAAGTGATATGATAATATGTTTGTTTCCTTGTGGAATTTCATGTGTGATATTGATTGTACAAATGGTAACTTATAAGACCATATGATGAAAGGAATCAATGATAGTGATAAAATAAGAAAGAAATGAAGATGATAATATAGTTGCTTGGGTGTACGTGTTTTATGATAGTATATATATATATATGGTTTACATGACATGATATGTATATGTGCAAATTGTTATGGTATATGTTATATGATATTGACATAAGAGATCATAGGAACATGAGATAAGAGATAAGAGATATGAATGATAATGACATATATGTATGCATATATTCGTTACATGTAAAAGTATGAGTGGTATGAAATGATAGTAGTAATTGTTTAGGTATGATTATTAGTTACCGTTTACCTTATATGTTTATATGCCTCACTAAGTCTTTGACTTAGCGTGTAAGTGATTTACACGTAGGTTTCGAGAAGAGTAAAGAGCAATGTGGAGCAAGACAGGTCAGTTCTCCTTACTAAAGGTCAGATCAGAAAAAGGTGAATAATATGTATTTTAGTATATAAAGTTCTAGTTGGCATGTTTTCAAAAGAATATATTGTTTAAGCTATGAACAGTTTTATAAATGTTTCGAATAGTTATATGTAAATAAATAAGTGAAATATACACGCTCTGATTGGTTTTGTAATAATGAAAATGTCTTTTATGTAAATTAGTCATTTATATGTTATAAAAGTTTTAAATTACTCACTATTTTATACAAGTACATGTTTTAAAAGGTCAATGTGACACCTCGGATTCGTATCCGAGTCGGATACGGGTTGGGGTGTTACATTTAGTATCATGGATTGTTGTTCCAAATTTCACCCTCGTTTTCTTCCCTTTGATGCAATGCTTACAAAAATCTAATTTGCAAGCCCAAGCACCATTCAATAATCCTTGATCTATCAACAATTTCAAGGATTTTTCACCAACATGCCCTAAGCACATATGCCATAACCCGATTGCTTCTGACTCCTGTTCATCAGTAGAAGTTGTCACTGCTACTGTCCCAACAATTGTACTACCCATAAAGTAATACACATTGTTTTTTTTCAGATTCCCTTCATTATCACCAGTGCACCAGAGATAATCCTCATAATCCCATCTTTTGTCATCACTTCTAAACCTTTTGACTCTAAGGTTCCCACAAAAATGAGATTTCTCATTAAATCTGGTTCATAATGGACACCTGTTAAGGTTCTGATTGATCCATCATGATTCATCAAGCGAATTAAACCAATCCCAAGTGTGTCAAGAGGGGAATTATTTGTTGTGTAGACAATTCCACCTTTTAGTTCTTTAAAATCAAAGAACCATTCTCTATTGGGGGTCATATGGTGGCTACAAGCTGAATCTAACAGCCATGAACTGGAATAGCTGGTTGATGGCGTAGCAACGAATACGAAATCTGAATCTGCATCATCATACTCGACCACATTTGATTCTGAGACAACTTTTCCCCTTTCAGGTTTGCCTTTATTCTTAGCATGAGATATTCTTTCTTCCAGTGCCCTTTTTCTCGACAAAAGACACATTCATCTTTGCTCAATCTGGACTTTGACTTCGATCTCCCTCTCATTCCTTTATTTTGACTCTTCGAACGACCTCTAACAACAATAGCTTCTGCTTCGACACTTGTGTTTTCTTGTTTGTCTTTCTTTCTCAATTCATAACTATACAAGGAATCAATTACTTCACTGAGAGACACATCAACCTTCCCATGAAGTATAGTAGTATCAAGATACTCAAACTCATCAGGAAGTGATCCCATCAACATCAGAGCTAGATCTTTGTCTTCAAAAGTCACGTCCATATTTATCAGACCAGTCACCAGCTGATTAAGCTAGTAATGTGATCATTATAGTGGTATCTGGTACATAGTTGAAGCGGAACAATCTCTTTTTCATATAGAGCTTGTTCTGACCACTTTTCTTCAAAAATTTCTCTTCCAGTGCCTTCCACAATTTACTTGCAGAAGTTTCCTTAGAAAATACATACTTCTGCTCTCTAGAAAGACACAATCGAATAGTACCACATGCCAATCTATTGATCATCTTCCATTATTTCTCCTCAACATTATCCGGTTTCTCTCCTTCAATAGGAATGTTTAGATCCTGCTGAAATAGGGCATCTAGAACCTCACTTTGCCACATGCCGAAATGACCGGTGCCATAAAAAATATCCACTACAAATCTAACATTTGTCACAGCATTTCTTGCGGATGTTTTTGTGTCGTCTGCCATTTCTGCTACAAATTCTATTTAATAGTTATCTATACGGAATGTCAATTACCACAAGGAAATTTTTTTATGATGTGAAGATCAACCTAAGCCGCAATCACAATCATACTAAAATAAACCAAGAGCTCTGATACTAATTGTTGTGGAATTCGGGTTAATTTCCACCAATAATAACAAATTCACCTTGAAAACTATTATATAGGTGATTAGTGTGAAAATGATTGTACTAAAAATCACCCCAAGATAGATTCCCAAGAAAGAGGAGGGGTCACAATGGTCCCTCTTAAAAACCACTTTCCTTAGACAGAACTACCAAGATAAGTAATTTTAATAGGACAATAATTAACAACAACTATACCCGATAATAGCTATTAAATAGACATAAAGAGAACACCAAAATTTAACGAGGTTAGGCCAAAATTATGCATACCTCCTCAAACACTACTAAAATAATATTTCATAATAGAAGAAATATTACAAAGAGAGAAAGAGTACAAATAACCTTTAATAGTGAAGAAGGCTTATATTTGTAGATGCTAAAATAAGGAGGATGAGGGCTCTATTTATAACAAAAGAATTTCCCCTCCTCCTTATACAAAACCAATGTGGGATTCAAAATTTGCCAAAAAAACCAACACGTTATTCATCTTGAAGGTTTCCGAAGTTCAGTTAACCAAATAATCTTCGACCATCCATTCTCTACACTCGTTTATTCAAGACAAAAGTCTTTGCTGGCATTTATAGTCAATGCATGAACTTTTTTTTTTCTGGAGGAAATCAATGCATGAACTTAGAATGTTCAATCAGGCTGACAAAAAAGAAAAAAAAGGAATGTTCAATCAAATGTAATGTGTACTTAATTCTGCATGCACTACCATGGAAATGTGTTTCTATTTTTATATTGCTTGTTGTTTCCTCATCTTCTTCTCAAATGCTTCAACCGCAATTCACACAATTTCTCTGTCGGAGTCACTCACCGATGGCAAGACCTTAATGTCCAATGATGGAAGCTTTGCTTTGGGTTTCTTCTCTCCTGGAACTTCTAACAACCGCTACCTGGGAATCTGGTACCACAACGACCCAATGCAAACTGTTGTTTGGGTTGCAAACAGGATAAACCCAATAAACGACTCCACTGGTGTGTTAAAGATAGAAAGTAGCGGCAGAATTGTGCTTGTTCAGAACATAACAGCTGTTTGGTCTACTGATACGACAGCATGTGTTGAGAATCCAGTATTGCAGCTCCTGGATTCTGGTAATCTTGTTGTCACATGGAACCGATGGTAATCCGGAGAATTACTTATGGCAAAGCTTTGATTACCCATCAGATACAATGTTACCAGGGATGAAAATCGGTGTTGACTTAAGAACCGGTTTTGCTCGAAGAATCACAGCCTGGAAGAACTGGGATGATCCATCTCCAGGGGATCTTACTTATGGTGTAGAACTTGAAGGAATCCCACAAATAAGGAAAGGCTTAAAAAAGTACTCTCTGAGTGGGATATGGATTGGCAATGGATTTAGTGGGATAAGGTATGTAAGCTTGAATCCGATCTATGATTATCAATTTGTGTGGAACGAAGATGAGGTTTACTACATATTTTCCCTCAAGAACAAACTAGTGCTGTCGAGGGTTGTTTTGAACCAAACTGAAAGTGTAAGACAAAGGTACACACGGAGCCCGGATACTCAAACCTGGATGCTGTTTTCAATGAGGCCAAGGGACTATTGTGACAATTATGGACGTTGTGGTTCAAACGTGAACTGTGATAATAATGAGCTTCCGGTTTGCCAATGTTTGACAGGGTTCAGGCCAAGATGGCCTGAAAGATGGAACTTATCGGATTAGTCCGGAGGGTGTATACACAGTAAGCCATTGAACTGCCAGAGAGGGGATGCGTTTATCACAATAAGTAAAGTGAAATCCCCAGACATCACAAATCCTTGGGTTAATAAAACCATGAATCTCAAGGAATGCAGGGCTCAGTGCTTGAGGAACTGTTCTTGCATGGCTTACGCTAATTTAGATTTTACCTGCGCCATGTGGTATGGGAATCTGGTTGATATCAAATAATTTCAATCAGATTCAGATGGTATGGATCTTTACATCAGAGTGCCTGCTTCAGAACCAGGTAACCGGTTCACAAAGCTAGAACATGTGCTTATTACATCTTGAGGTAAGGTTAATTAATATCTGTGCATCATGATCAAAATTGATAATGGCAGAACTGAAGAAAAAGGCTATGGTGAAGCTTGCCATACTTGCAACTCTAATTGCTACCCTTTTGGGGTTCCTTTCACTCGTTTGTTACATTCGCAGAAGCAGGAGGAAGTTAAAAGGTAACAAAAAATTATGGTCCTCATAAATGTACTCCTTTTGTTGCAAACCAACCTTCAAAAACTAATTGATAATGAACGGTTTTGAACTTTTAATATGATCTGAGAAACAGAGTCTAACTGTCTACAAACCAAGTGCTAGGGATATTTAAATTTTATGTGTTTTTTCAGAAACATGCATATAAATCAATGAATATAGGAAAGAGGCAATCGGAATTCCAATTCTATGTTTTATACTCTTTCCAGTTGAAGTTGAAGACAAGAATGTGAATCATAGACAGAATAAAGACGAAAATGAAGACTTGGAGATTGCAGTATTTGGGTTTGGGACGATAGCTCAAGCTACTGACACTTTTTCATTTCGTAACAAGTTAGGTCAAGGAGGTTTTGGCTCTGTTTATAAGGTGAAAGCTACTGTATTTCAGTATAGTAAAATTGCAGTGAAGAGACTTACAAAGAGTTCTGGACAAGGATTGAATGAGTTTAAGACTGAAGAAAAGTTAATTGCCAAACTTCAGCATCGGAACCTTGTCAAAATTCTTGGTTGCTGCATTCATGGAGATGAGAGGATGCTGGTTTACGAATACATGCTTAATAGAAGCCTTGACTATTTCATTTTTGGTCTGAAAATCATTTGAAAAACCTCTTAATATTATACTTTTGCTTCTTCGATGATCAAAAAAGATGTAGGACTAACAAGAATGCGTACTTTCTAGATCAAACGAAAAGCAAAGTATTAACTTGGTCCAAGCGTTTCCATATCATCTGTGGGATTGCTAGGGGATTACTCTACCTTCATCAAGACTCAAGATTGAGGATTATTCATAGAGATTTAAAAGCTAGTAATGTTCTACTTGACGGTGAAATGAACCCAAAAATTTCTGATTTTGGCCTGGCAAGAACTTTTGGAGGCAATCAAACAGAAGCCAATACAAACAGAATAGTTGGAACTTAGTAAGTGTTGTTTTATGCCATTTGTCATACTATTGGTTCCATAATCCCTAATAAATTTTTTTCTTTATCTGACGACGTTCATGCAGTGGTTATATGGCACCAGAATATGCCACCGATGGGCTGTTTTCAGTAAAATCAGATTGCCATTTGTCATACTATTGGTTCCATAATCCCTAATATTTTTTTTATTTATCTGACGACGTTCATGCAGTGGTTATATGGCACCAGAATATGCCACCGATGGGCTGTTTTCAGTAAAATCAGATTGCCATTTGTCATACTATTGGATCCATAATCCCTAATAATTTTTTTTCTTTACCTGACGACGTTCATGCAGTGGTTATATGGCACCGATGGGCTGTTTTCAGTAAAATCAGATGTTTTTAGCTTTGGGATTGTACTGTTGGAGGTTATAGGTGGAAAAAAGAATAGTGGATTTTATCATGCAAACCAAAGCGGCAACCTCATTGAACACGTAAATGTCAACAGATACTATTATCATTTATGTTTTCTCACTTGAACTAAAAATGCTAAAAAGGTTTGAATTTTGCTGCGGGCATGGAGATTATGGACAGAAGGCAAGCCTTCGGATGTTGCTGATGATTTCTTAGTAGAGACCGGCGATCTACCTGAGCTATTACGATGCATTCACATTAGCCTTTTATGTGTACAGCAGCATCCAGAGGAGAGACCGAGCATGTCATCCGTGGTTCTTATGTTGGGAAGTCATAATGAATTGCCTTCGCCTAAACAACATGGTTTCTTGTTTTACAACAAACCCATTGAAGCAGATCCTTCACCTGGCAATGACGGACCGTCTTCGAGAAACGAAATGATCGGTTAGCCTATACCCCAAGCATTACAAAGCTTTAAGTTAATACCATCTAGTCTATTATTATTAGTTCTCCTAAGACGGATTCCAACGTCTTTAACCTCCTTTAGCAAACAGTCGATCGTTCTACTACGTCCTTGAAAAATTCTTTGATTTCTCTCTTGCCACAAAAAGTAAATAGCTGCAGTCCAGGAAATTTTCAGAATGGTAGTTAACAAAGACCTTCCTTTCCATAAGGAACAAACCTTTGTTACCATTTCATCCCATGGTAAGAAAGTGGACTGTATCCCATTAAAGTTCAGAATTAAATTCCAGAGATCCACTGTCAGTGTACATTGTGAAAAAAGATGGTCTCTTGACTCGTAAGAATTGTTGCAATTAACGCAAATATTGTCGTTGCTAATTCTCATTCTAAGAAGTCGGTCTTTTGTAGGAAATTTGTTGAGCAGAGCCATCCAAGCAATCAAGCTGAACTTTGGAATATGCAATGGAAACCAAATGAGTTTGTGCCATATAACAATCTGCCCTTTACAACAAATCAAGTCCCAAATTTCCTTAACTTGCGCAGAACCATCATAAATTAATGGATGAGCTTCAGCCCTTGTCTTTAAGATCCTTTTGATGCTCCAACTTAAATTAGTTGTTGCTTGATAGTTCCAAAAATCCTGATCCTTAAAACCATAGGCGTTGAGCCAAGAGACCCACAGGGAGCCGTTTCCTGCTAATATTTTTCGGATTAGAAGAATGAGACAAGCTCTATTCCAAGTTTTAATGTTCTTCAATCCGAGGCCACCTTCTAATTTGGAAGTACAAATGTTATCCCAACTCACACGAGCACCAGCAGCGGATTTATCTGCACCTTTCCAGAAGTACCTAGAGCAAATTTGATGAACTTTTTTTAAGAATAGAAGATGGCAGAACAAGTTGTCTGCACCAATAATTGCTAACATTGAATAAGACTGGTCTAATGAGCTCTAATCGGCCTGCATAACTGAGATTTCTGCTAGACCATTGATGAAGTTTTAGCTTGATCATATCGATTAAAGCTTGGCAATCCTTTTCAGTAAGTTTGCGAGTGACAAGCGGAATACCAAGATAAAGAACAGAAGACTTCCAATTTGAAACCTCGTAATAATTTTTAAATTATCGATGGTTCTTGTAGAAATTCTCGCAGCAAAAATCTCACATTTGACAGGATTCAGTTTAAGCCCAGAGACTCATAGAATCGGTCAAGAATAGTAAGAACACCAACAACATAGTCGATATTACCTTTACAAAAGATCAATAAATCGTCAGCAAACAAGATGTGAGTAAGACCAATTTTCTTACATTTAGGATGAAAACCAAACATTCCTCTTTCGGCAACAAAATTGAGCATTTGGGATAAAATGTTCATTGCAAGAACAAAAAGGTATGGGGAAAGAGGGTCTCCCTGCCTTAGGCCTCTAGCTCCTTTAAAATAGCCTATTAAGGTTCCATTACAAGAAATAAAAACCTTGGTTGAGTGAAACATGCTTCGATCCAAGCTATAAAAACAGGAGGGAAATTGAGAGCTTTAAGAATTTGAATGATGAATCCCCAGTAAATGGAGTCAAAAGCTTTATGAAGGTCAATCTTCAGAGCGCATCTCGGGGAAATGAATTTCTTCCATAACCTTTAACCATCTCCTGAACAAGGAGGGTATTATCTATAATGCTCCTTCCTCTGATGAAAGCATTTTGATTCAGAGTAATAATCTCGGGGAGAAAATCTGTCAATCTTCTAACAATGATTTTGTAGATAACAGAACAACAAGAGATTGACCGATAGTCTTTAACTGCACTCGGATTTGGAATTTTTAGAACAAGAGCAATAATAGTAAAGTTAAAAGCAGGATGAATTGGAGTATTGAGAAAGAAAAATTTGACTGCAGCAACAACATCCTCACCCACTATATTCCAAGAGTTCTTGAAGAAAAAAAGAGTGTAGCCATCAAGTCCGAGAGCTTTATCATTGCCTTGGCAGAATACAACTTTCTGAATTTCTTCTTTAGTAATTTCTTTAACAAGGCTAGATGAAGCTTCATATGGCATTGAGTAATTGAGAAGATCTTTAAGGAGATTAGGATCAATATCTTTGACCATGTTATCAGTTGTACCAATTAGATTCGAATAGAAAGAAATAACTTCTTTCGACATTGCTTCAAAGGTCTCCAATCTATTGCCTTGATCATCACAAGAACACAAATAGTTTCCCTCTTGTTTTTAAATGCAATCATCGAATAGAAGAATTTGGAGTTTTTATCTCCATCTTTAATCCACTGCACTTTTGCCTTTTGCTTAAGGAACGTTGTTTCGGCATTTTCCAAAGTATACAACTCTTCTTGAAATAGCAATTCCTTTTCGAAAGTCTCCTGCCCCTTTAGAGTGAGAAGTTGTTAATGTTCCAACTCAATTCTTTTAAGCTTGACTCTATCGGATAACTTGTTATAGTTCTTATTAAATCTCGTAAGGCACACTTTGAGTCTTTTAAGTTTTGTAAGGAGAATTTTCATAGGATTGCCAAGAGTCGGTTGGAACCAAGATTGACTTACTACATTATTGAAGCTTGGATGAGCAACCCAAAAATTTAAGAATTTAAAAGGCTTTGGCCTGTTTGCAGGAGATTCTTTGAAAAGCCAAGTAAGAGACATGCAATGGTCCGATACTCCAGGTGCAATGAACTCGACAAAAGAGCGCTGAAAAAAGATGCCCAATAAGAATTAATCATAACCCTGTCAAGTTTCCTTGCAAGAAAAAATTCTTTTTGCTTGTTGGTCCAAATGAATGAAGGGTCAAAATAAGGGTGGTCATGGAGATCAAGCTCATAAGCTAAGTCTTGAAAGTCTTTCATATCAGTGGTGAGGTAATGGCCAAGGACCTCGTGGTCAGAACTCTCATCGGAGTGCATGATAATATTAAAATCGCCTCCTAAAACCCAAGGTGACTTATTAACAATATGATCAACTTCTCTTAAGGTCTGCCAAAGTTGTCTACGAGCAATACCATCATTACTACCATATATAGTCGAAATAAACATTGTAATACCTTGATAAGAACCTCTAACAGTAATGCATTGGTCAGATTTCTGAATAAGAGACAGATTAATACCCTTTCTCCAAAGTACCCAAATTCTACCATTACTAGCATGTTCATAATTGAAACAAAAATTCCAGTTCTGGAATTTAGCAGCAAGAATAGCCCTGTTTTGTCCGCCTTCACTCTAGTCTCCAATAAACACAGAACATCAACATTATTCTGACTAGCTTGAAGAACCACTTTATTCTGCTTTAGGGGACTGTTAAGTCCTCTAATGTTCCAAAAACTTATTATCATTAAGAAGGCGATCCCAAAGAACCCCCCTTGACCTCCAGCAATGAGACCTTTAGTTCTCTCAAGTAGAGGTGTGCAAAATTACCCGACCCGGTTGACCCGACCCGTCGACCCGCCGACCAGGATCTAAAAAACCGGTTAATTCTATAAAAAAAATTACCCGGTCGGGTCGGGTACCCGGCCCGACATTTCCCGGGTCAGGCCCGGGTCACAAAATCTAGTTTTTCCGGGTACCCGGTTACCCGAGTACCCGGTTAGTTTTTTTATTTTTTATTTTTATATATATAATTATATAAAATATAATGAATTATTTATGTTATGGATTATTATATTTTGTATTTTGAACTTTTAAATTTTATGTTCGGATATTAGAGTATGTAATTCGAAGTTTCGAACATTTAAATTTGTATATATATTTTTTAAAATTAATAATTTGAAAATAAAAAATTAAAAACCGGGTATCGGGTATCCGATTACCGGGTACCCGTAACATCCGGGTCGGGACACGGGCCGAGAAATCGTCGACCCGGAAGTTCCGGGTACCCGGATTTGCACACCCCTACTCTCAAGATGTTCCTTCTTTTTTTTATTTTAATTCTTTCACTAAGACTACCACTCCCATAGATGTAGCCCTTGGTTTCCTTTGTGAACTTTTAGAACTGTTTTGAATCTCTTCGGCATATTTTATAATTTCAAATATGTTGTATGAGCCTGAAAGTTGAGATTTTGCATTTTCTTTCAAAAGTCTGCCGCTACCCTTTTTAAGCACTGCTGTTTGTACTTTTTCTGCTTCATTGGCTTCAGTTGGCTCGTTAATTGAATGGTCTGAAGCAGGAACATCTATTCTGATCGGGACAGCTGCAGAATCTTCAGTTTTATTCTTGATAGCTGCTTCATTATAATTAAGATGCTAATTTTGATCTGGAACATTAACTTCAATCTTATCCTCCTTTCTCATTGCAATAGCTTCACTTACTACAACAGTATCCTTCTGAGATGCATCAATAAAGTCTGTAAAATTTTGAGTAATTGCTTCATCCGTAGCAGCAGGATTCACAAACTTCTTCGGTTCCTGCTGTATTGGAATTGTTGACTAACTTCTTCTTCCAGACTTGAGGGGCAGATTTGTTAGTGGTTGTTTTAAGCAAACAACCCTTATCGTTATGACCAAAAATATTACATCTCCTACAAGAGTGTGGTAGTCAAGGAACCTCAATAATTATCGAGGTTGTTTGTCCGTCCTTCAGAACAACCTCAATGTATTTAGGTATAACATCATTAACTCTTATTTCTATACATACTTTTTGTTGAAAACATTTTTGTTTCGATATAACAAATTAGTTTAAATGAATTTTAAGATTTTACAAATGATTTTCTAAAGTATATTCGATTAAATTAATCGAATATCAAATTATTACTCCAAGTCTTTTAAGATCAATTTCAAACCTTACTAAATGTGTAAAATTGTGTTTTATACTTATATATTTTAAAACAATTTTCACAAAGTATTTTGAACCAAAATCAAGCATAAAATCAATTTTTCAGAGTGATGCACCGATGCACTAATCCATGCATCGATGCACCATGAATTAAATTGAACATCGAATGCATTTCATGCATCGATGCACATACCATGCACCGATGCACTGAGGATTTTATGAAAACATCGAATGCATTTGATGCATCGATGCACCAGCCATGTATCGATGCACTCTGGCTATTTTGAAACATCGAATGCACTTGATGCATCGATGCACTCTTAGTGCACCGATGCACTAAGGATCCAACGGTTAAAATATTTGAATTTTACACTGATGCACCGATGCACCATGGGTATGCATCGATGCACTGACGCTCCCAACTGCTTTAATTAATTGTTTTCACACTTAAACGGCTCTATTGACTCCACTAATCATCTCCAACGTTCAGAAGTGATTCAAGGTGTATTTAAACAAGCTTAGAAGCCATTGATAAAAAATAAGAAACAACAAGCAACTAGAATCAAGAGAGAATCAAAGAACACTTATTGTGCTCAATATTCATCTTGCTTTCAAGAACACTTATTGTGCTCAATTGTATTTATTCTTGAGTGTTCTAGAATTGTGCAAACATATTTGCCTTGTGAGGTTTTTCTTGTAAGTTTGCAAATTTGTAATCTTCTCTTTGAGAAAAGAGTGTTCTCAAGAATTGGGGTATATTCTTGAGGGAGTTGTAAGGTTATCTCTTTAGTCTCAAAAAAGAACAAATTAGTGAATTTGTTGGAAAATCCTTAGTGTGGATAGCTAAGGTAGTGGACGTAGACTTTGGTTGATAAAGTCGAACCACTCTAAATCGCTGTGCAATTACTTTCAATTTTCTGCAAAAGCTTCCATCAACATTTTTATTGCCAATTCACCCCCCTCTTGGTCGATTCCATCGATCAATTAACTCAACAATTGGTATCAGAGCCTCACTCATTTGAAGTTTTAATCGTCTCTTGAGTCGATTCGGGAAGAGTTACATCGATTATCAAGTCATCAATGGCCTCCACTTCAAATTACGACTCCGGTCTTGATTCGATGCCCGTCAACAAGCCTCCTTTCTTCAATGGGGCTAACTATGCCTATTGGAAAAATAGGATGATGCACTTCATTCAAGAAAGTGACATGGGAGCATGGAATGCCGTAGAAGAAGGATACATCAAGCCTCTCACTCATCCAAGATTGTGGAGTGAAGGAGAGACAAGAATGTTCCAGCTCAACTCCAAAGCCATCCATATCATATTTTGTGCTCTTGGACCAGATGAATACGTAAGAGTTTCATCTTGTACAACCGCCAAAGAAATATAGGAAAACTTCAAGTCACTCATGAAGGTACCGATGAGGTAAAAAAATCTAAAATTTGTATTCTAACCCATAGCTATGAAAATTTTAGGATGAAACCAAATGAAGATATCAAAGCTATGACGGATAGATTTTCAACGATTTTCAATGGTCTCAAATCTTATGGATAAATCATTTCAAATGAAAAGCTTGTGAGGAAGTTAGTCTACTCCCTTCCAAAATCGTGGCAATCAAAGAAGACGGCAATCATCGAGTCTAAGGATCTAACGTCCTTAACTCTTGAAGAACTAATCGGTTCCCTTCTCAATCATGAAATGATGCTTGAAGATAAAGTGGACCTCGATAAGATTGACGAGACACCAAAGGAGAAGGAGAAGAAGAAAAATATTAGAGTTGCTCTCAAATCCCCAAAAGATGAGAGTGTTTCAAATGACGATGATGATGACGAGGAAATGACATTATTTGCCAAACGATTCAGAAAGTTGATGATGCCCAACCGAGGAAGAAAATTCAAACGTCATGAAGGCGTCAAAACTGAATCGAAGGAGAAAGACCCGATCATTTGCTATGAATGCAAAAAGCCTGGGCATGTCAAATATGATTGCCCACAATTGAAGAAAAAGGGTCAATTCAAAAAGAAGCACAAGGCTCATGTAGCTACATAGAGCGATGAAGAAAGTTCCGATGAAGAGGAATAAGAAGTTGCAAACTTGTGCTTGATGGCTATCGGGAAGATTCTAAGGTAACCTCTAACTCATTCGATTTGGATGAATTATCTTATGATGAGTTATTAGAGGATTATAATGGGTTGACTTCGGATTATAAGTCTCTATTTTCAACATACAAAAATGATATTTCAAAATTGAAAAACGAAAATAGTCTTATATCCAAGACCAACAATGATCTTGAAAGTAAGATCAAAAAATTGCAAATCAAAATTAATGATTTTGAAAAGAAAAATACTAATTTGTATAACTTACTTTCAAAAGTTCATGATGATCATCA